TGATCTACCTACTGAAACAGGTCTGAAGTCAGCAAGAGCATGGCTCCTGCTAGACAGATTCAACACAACGACCCAGACAGATGCTATAGGCAGGCCACGTGTACAACCTTGTGGAAAGCACATCTCCATAATGGCACATACTGAGGAAAAGCAGAGCTAGCTAACCTCTGGAAGTTCTCTCCACTCCTCTGCAACTGCTCATTCCTCACCCAAGGCCTAGGACAACACCAGCAGGGCATAGGTGATGGTACCTCAGAGCTCAGGAGTGCAACACCCCAATGGGCCATGCCAACAGCAAACAGCATGCTCCCTGCTTCGGCACGCTCCCTCTCCTTCCCTTCTCCAAGCCTCCTCCTCCACCTTTCCACAGCCTCTGTGCTACACGATGTTTGCCCATTCTTGCACCACATAGAAACTCCCCAGGCCAGGATGGTCCTGCTCCTGCCTGTCTGGTGGTTGGAATGCTTCTAAATCCTCAGAAGTATTCTCATGCCAGCTCACCAGAACAATGTATTTGTTCATATTATATTTTTGGAGTCTACAGAGCTGTCACATACCATGTTCAACCCATTATTCATCTCAAACAGAGAATTCTGCAAAGCAAGAGGAAATAAAAGAGAGTTTAATACAGCTTTACTAAAATGGAATTTGCCAAAGACTCACAGAAAAATGGATTTAATTAGGGCTGCTAATGGATAACAGTTTGTTCCTGTGATTTAAAGCAGAAGTTAGATAGTGTCTGTAATTTCAACATTTTTAAATTATATATAGGGGGTTATTTCTCATTTCTACCTTAATTATAAAAATCCATCTTTATGAATCACAATTTTGAGGCAAATAAAGCAAAGGCAGCAAAAATGATGTTTTACTTAATAAAACTTTTAAGAACTCACCAAAGAAGCAAAAGACACTTCAGCATGAATAAAACAGACTTAACATAGCAAATCATAGTTGCAGGCATTCCTCTGGATACTACTTAAAGACTAGGCTATCTATTAGAGTTGCAGGCATTAACTGGCCTAACATGCTCCAGCTAGTGATTCCAAATTCTAGAATTTTCTGCTACCCGTTCTCCCATTCTTAAATTGATTGCTGTCAGAATTTTTGACTTGCCTGCAAATTGTTTCTCCATATTAAAGGGAATAAAATGATAAAACCATGAGCCTCCTCTGCAGCCTTTGATTTTATTTAAAACTAACAAATGTTGCTTTTGTGAGATTCCTCCTGTCAGCTGGGTCTGACCATATAACCTAAGTAAATGAGTCCTAACATTGTAAAGCACTGATTAATTTAATTACAAATAGTCCAGATAACTGGTGAGCAAGCTGGGCCTAGCTGCTGTCACTGCTGCAGATTCTGCACCCACCATAATGCATTTTAATATTGCACCTCAGATCAGAATAGAATCAATGAGTGAAGTTCAAATGTGGCACATTTCCTGTTTCTCTGACAGCTTATTTCATGGATCACAGGGACCAAAGTACAGTTGCTTATTCAACAGAGGAAAGAATGAATCAATTTTCATTCTTTAACACACTGTGTGACCTATTCTCTGATGTTCTATCCTTTACAATGGCTCCAGTCTTTTCAAGACCTTCAGTTTTGTCAGATAGAGAAAATTTAAAATAATGACAAAATGCCCTGCCCTAGGTCTGCTTCCAGCTGACTGACTGCTCTCCTGGTAATAAGTCCAAATGAAAGCTATTATGTCACTCGGCTTGAATTAAACAGACAAACTATAATCCTAGACCGCTAAAAATGAGCCAATCTTCTGGAAGATTTCTGTGATCTTGCTCCAAGTTCCCCATGAAAGGTGCTGGACACCACAAAGATTCTGATCCTCATGTGCTTCACTTTCTTACCCTACTTCAGAACATGAAGGAATAACGTGACAGGACAGCTGCTGATCCCGCTCGCTGTGCTGGGAGCTCCTGTACCTGCCCAGCGCAGTGGGCTCAGCACAGGGCACTGAACAGAGGTGCAGGGCCCCCTCCCAACCCGCCATCCCACAGAGCCCTGCTGAGCGAGGATCTCACAGCTCTGCTGCTCTGCTCACCTGCCGGACTCCCTGAAGTTAGCAGATAATGTTACAGTTCTTCAGTACTGCTAGTTTGGGCAGAATTATCAAATTGATATGTGTAATTTTGCAATTTCAGTGTGAAATCTTTTTTTTTTCCACTTAGAAATATCCCAAGGTATTGTGGTTTTAAATCCCCTGTGTGCCTTGTGTCTGTCTTCTTTCATTATTAATCCCAGTTCACTGGTGATACTTGCATTGCTCCTGTCATTTATAACTTGGTTTCAGCTTGCACTTTCTTACTGTAATCATTTTTCAGATGGGGAAGATCAGAGTCTGCAAAGGAGAACAGAGGACAAGGGCGAGTGCTGCGGGCACCTCAGGCAGGTGTGGGGCACCACGCTGATACCCCAAAACCAAGGCAGTAGGGCTCCCTGCAGCTGTGCTGAGGGCAGTGTGCAGGAGCCTGGCACCAAGACAGAGGGGCTTTTGAAGTACCAGACAGATTGTGAACCAAACAGCACAGCCTGAAATAGAAACCCTGGAAAGGACACACTCAGAGGCCTCCACAGGCAAAGAGGATCTCTGCCTCTACTTTCTCAAATTCTCCTTCTTCTGCCTCATACTTTATGACTGACCCCATGAGATTTGCCTGGCCTTAAGACATAAAGGGAATAAATCAGACCTTATCAGAATATTACTCAGATGAAACACACATATCACAGCCAGCTTTATTTGCTTTCTTCTCTGCATATCCAGTAGTTCAAATACAGGGCTTTCAAAGCACTGGATTTAACAAATATCAGTACTTCAGGGCACATGGGCAGACAAATTGTTTTTTTCCAGTTCATAAGATGAATCTGGGAAGAGCATGGGTCACTAAATGGCTGCAACAAACGTTCTAGTGTTTAAGCAGGTCATGAGCTATATAGCAGGGGTTGCTGGTTTGATTCTTTGCCCCTGGTAGATTAATTTTCCTTTTTTATTTTCCTGCCTTTTGTGAAGGAAGTCCAGGGACCCATCACAGCTCAGGACTGCCCAGCACCAGCAACTGCTCCACTTGCTGCTTTGGTCTGGAAGCTAACAGGACACTCAGCTTGTGGGAGCTGGTGTTTGAACTGTGAGCTCTGCAGTATCTGCCACGCCTTTTCTCACCCAGCCAGGAGCTTTCTGCAGCTAAACAAAACACCTGAACTTCCCAATAGTTAGGTTTTAGCACAGTTCTGGAGGATGGTGATATGGGATGGAGGCTGAGCAGCCAGCAGCTATTAGACAGTCAGCTGCTGAACAAGTGGATTTGGATGAGATTCACCTGATCAGCTTCGGGTGCACAAATGAGAACTGTGCACGCAGAGCTGGGAACATGCTGCTATAGAGGTTACACACTGCACCCATCACCAGCACCCTTTTGTCCGCTGGCTATTGAAGACAACTGCCTACTATGCTCTGATGAAGTAATGTGTACAATGGAGCTCTAACAAGATCTTTTCCCTTCAAACAGCGTACAAATTAACAGTCAGCAGCATTTGAAAAATGGCCCTGATCCCTGTCCACATAGGGAGTTTGTTCCCAGTGCAAAGTGCCAGATTATGACAATGATACATACTTCAAGTGGGTGAAAACAAATGAATAATAACACCCTGACAGTACTGCTGTTCCTGAGTGCTTAGGAGCTAGGTAAAACTGACAGTGCAGGATAAATATGGCACTGAGATGAGATGCTGCAGTGTATGACTGGTCAGGGGAATCCAGACTCATTGGCCTTTACAGATGGGTTAATTCTAAAGGCTGCATTGGATCCTGAGCAATAGTTGCCCTCTGAGCAAATAGGAAAGGCTCAGCCTGTGGGAGGACTGAGACACAGGTGCTAGTCCCGCTTGTGAAGGAAGCATCGGATGGTCCTAGAAACAAAGGATGTGAGTTTGCCTGTTGTCCCTGCAGCCCCAAGTGTAGGATAACCCCCCCTGCCTACCCCCTGAGGGTCCAGCCAACAACTCACCTAACAACGCAGTGAGGAAAGTGGGACTGTCCGCAGCCAGAGGCATCCTCAGCACCCATCGACTGTGCACTAGCTTGTTTTCATAGCATAGGCATCACGAGTGGCCAGGGAAAGTATCTGCCATCAGGCTGACAGAAGAAGGGGAGTGTGACCCCTGAATCGCACGTGGCTCTTTACCTGGAGTGCTGTGGAGCCCAGATATGCTCAGGGGTTTCAACAGGCTCCAGAGACACTCCTTGAACACAACCCCCACCTGCTAGTTCAGTGCAATGGACAGACACAACCACTGCTCCAGAGGGACTACAATCAAGATCTGAAGCAATCCTCACCCTGTCTTCTACAGGCTATTCACAAGCACCTGCTAATGGCTGAGGACAAAGAGAGGCCCCCATGCCTCACCAAGCTCTATCTTGGATTGCTTCCATGGTGGTGCTGGAAGTCCCTCCATGGCTTGTCACCACCAGCCCCTAGCAGTGGCACTCCTCAGGCTCAGCTGAGGATCCCTGGCCATGGGGGTCCCTGTGTCTCAGTTAGCTCTGTCTGTCCCCCTGCAGTGCTGAGGTATGTCCTCTACACTTGCAGCACCAGGTGGGCTGTGTCCATCAAGGAAGGCTTGTAAGCCCTGTAAGGCAATCCATCTACGTCC